GGCGGCCGTGCAGGGACGACCTGGTGGCTGCACATGCGTTTGTGGCGCAGCAGCTATGCGGGCTGGACGAGGACGCGGATGAAGACGACCAGCTCTTCTCAGGGCTGCCTGCGCTAGAGTGAGTCCGTCTGCCTGCGTGTGTGCCCCGCTTCATGAGGTTGTTACTTGATTTTGGGCGGGTCAAGACAAGACAGCTACTGGAGGTGCATGCGTGTGTGGCGCAGCAGCTGTGCGGGCTGGACGAGGACGCGGATGAGGACGACCGGCTGTTCTCCGGGCTGCCTGCGCTAGAGTGAGTTTGTGTGCCCTGCATGTGTCTGCATGTGGGGACGTTGATTTGCTGGGTCAACTTAGTGGGCAGCAACTGGTGGGCGTTGCACGCGTTTGTGGTGCAGCAGCTGTGCGGGCTGGACGAAGACGCGGATGAAGACGACTAGCTCTTCTCAGGGCTGCTTGCGCTCGAGTGAGTCTGTGTGTGCGTGAGTGATCGAGCGTTTGTGTGCCACTTCCTGTGGTAAAATGCTCAATTGACTTCCCAGCAGCTGTGCGGGCTGGACGAGGATGCGGATGGGGACGGCTAGCTGTTCTGATCGTTGCCTGCACTCGAGTGCGTTTGTCCTTGGGTGTCTCTGTGTGCAACTGTGAGTCGCTTCACTTGTTGATTTGATTCATTGGGTCAAATTAAGGCAGCAGTTGGTGGAGGCCCATGCGCTTGTGGCGCAGAAGTTGTGTGAGCTGAAATAGAAGGGAGTGAGACAGGCAGCCCTCCGGAGCATAGTGGCAGCAAGGCAGCTCACAGCTTTCCCTGAATCTTCTATTCCCACTTTGCCTTCCATGACCTCGAAAAGGTCTCTGAAGGAAGAGAAAGTCAAACAAGCAGCTGTCCGGAGCATAGGGGCAGGCAGGTAGCTCATCTTCTTCCCCTCGCCTTCTTGTCTCCCATTTCCTCCCCTTCTCCGATCCCCCTAAAGGTCTCTGAAAGAGGAGGGAGCCAAGCACGCAGCTGTCCGGAGCATTGTGGAAGCCAGGCAAGCCAGCGCCAAGGAACACACGGGCAAGAATCCAGCTGCTACAAACGGAGCCCTCGTTATAAGAGACACCGCTGGCGGCAGCGGCAGCAGCAGCAGGGCCGGCGAGGGAGCAAGCGTGGGAATTGATGACGAGGAGTTGGCTAGGCTGGTGGCCGAAGAGGAGGAGAAGGAAGCAGAGGCGAAGAGGGGAGGTGGACGGAGGAAGGGGGCTGGGGGCGGTGGCAGGCAGGAGAGGTATTTGAAGATCAATGAGAAAGAGCTGGCTGATGACTACCCGCCCCCGAGATACTACAAGGTAGGCTGGAGGACAAGACATAAGGACGAAGGAGCAAAGACAAGGAAATGGGATTGACTGCAGGCTGGAGTCTGGAGAGGCACTTGCAAATCAACGAGAAAGGACGACCTGCCTCGCCGCCCGGACAACCAGGCGCTGCATGACGATCAACTGTGCTCCGTGCCGCTCGAGCTGCTGCCCATGCTGGACCGTGTATTGCCCATCCATCCCACTGCTGACCCCTGGGTCTCTCTCTTCCCCTTCTTCCCCCATCCACTCCCTCCCTTGCCCCTTTTCCCTCCTGGTTCTTTCACCCCACCCACCCACCCACCCACAGAGCGTGGACGAGGAAACAGACGAGTTCCTGTTCGACGACCCACTCCTCACCGCTGTGCCCTCCTCTTCTCCCGCCCCATCCCCCTTCCCCCACTCCCGCCCTTCCCCATCTCCGCTGCCCTCATGGCAACTGCTTTTCCAGAGCGTGGACGAGGAAACGGACGAGTTCCTCCTGTTCGACGACGCCACCGCTCCGCTCTACCCCGACGACCTGCCGCGGCGCCGCCTGGACGACTGGGCGCTCTACGACGACCAGCTGCGCTTCGTGCCTCTTGAGCTGCTGCCCATGCTGCCGGGGGTAGCCGCGGACTCCCTCGTGTTCGGCTCGGGTGTTATGATGGAGGACGATGGGAGCGGCTTCAGCCTCGACGATCCCACTGTTGAATCCGCTGGCACTACTCGGGGTGACGGTGCTGGTGGTTCTTCAGGTGGCACTTCAGGTGGTTCTTCAGGTGCTTCAGGGAGTGGTTCCGGGTCAGGATCTGATCCCGCAGCAGCGGATGGTGGTGATGGTGGCGCCGGTGGTATCCGGGTGTATCTGAGCGCGATCAAGGAGTGGATGATCGAATTTGGGGCCGGCATGCTTTTTGTGACCATTCGAACCGATGGGGCATGGTACAGGCTCGGCCGCCCTTGTTCCGCCTATGTCCCCTGGTACCGCCCGGTTCTGCGCACAGCCCGGCTGGCAATCCGAGTCATCGAGATGCTGAGTGGCGAGTCCCGGGCGGCGCGCTTGTCTTTTCTGGACGTGGTGACGAAGCTGGCGCAGGAGCGGGTGGCGGAGAAGCAGCAGAAGAGCGGCAAGGTGCCGGCACGTGGGGACTTAGCTAAGTGTTTTGCTGAAATGGAGCGGTTTTTAGTGGTGCATGGGAACATCATCCTGCAGCAGTTTAGAGAGTACCCAGTGGAGACAATCCGCCGGAGCCCCTTTATAAGCACGCTGCGAGAAAAGATGGAGATGCGATCGCATACCGAGCTAAAAGTTAGTAAGAAAAAGGCGGCGATGATTGTCGCAAGCAGAGGTAGCAATGGACGTGGTGGGGGTGACGGTGGGAGTGCGAGGAATGCGAATCCTGCTGCGGCTTTAAGGCCTGATGCTAGTAAGAGGAAGCCTATGCGTGCTACCACGACTCAGCTGGTCCACAGGATCTGGAAGGAGTATTATGAACGGTTCGGATTGAAGCGGGATGAGGTGGGGGCGGGTAAAGGGGGGGGTGAGGGAGAGGAGAATGGGAAGGTGGAGGGTGAGGAGGTGGAGGACGAAGAGGAAGGAGGGGAGTTGAAGGATGGGGATAGTGAGGATGAGGAGGAGGAGGTTGAGGAGGTAGCGGGTGCAAGGCAAACCAAGGGGAGTAAAACGAAGGGGATTATAGCGAAGAGCGCAGAACTAGATAAGGAGGCTGGTGTGACCGATAAGGGAAAAGCAGCTGTTGCTGGTGGTGAGGCTAAGAAGGGGAAGGAAGCTGTTGCTGGTGGGTGCAAGGCGAGAGCAGTAAAGGACTCCACTCAGGGCGTGACATGGATGGGTGCAAGCACAGGCCGCACTGAGGAAGACCATCCTGCCTACGCGGCAGCCTCAGTGTGGGGGTTAGAAGTCAAGGCAGGGATTGTGGTGCTTGCTGCTGTGGCAGAGGGCGAGGATGACGGGGACGAGGGGCGGTGGAGAGAGGAGGAGGAGAGGCTAGTGTTGGTGGAGTATATGTGGGATGAGGGGGGTGTGGGGGGTGGCGCGGGCAGGAGGAGGAGGGGCGAGGGGATGAAGGCGCATGGGCGGGTGATGGTGAGGGGGAGTGAGACGGTGCTGGGGAATGCGGCGGACGAGTGGGAGCTGTTCGTGTCGGAGCACTGCGTTGACTTCCCCCTCACTGCCATCCGGTAAGTTGCCTAGAAGTGGGTCAAGTTGCGAGCAAATGCGATAAGCTGCAGGTATTGAGTATCGAGTATCAAAGGTGGTGGACGAGTGGGAGCTGTTTGTGTCGGAGCACTGCGTTGACTTCCACCTCACTGCCATTCGTTAAGCTGCCAGCAGATGCGGTAAGCTGCCAGCAGATGCGGTAAGCTGCAGGTATTGAGTGAGCATCAAGTATAGAATGCGGCGGATAGGTGGGAGCTGTTTGTTTCGGAGCACTGCGTTGACTTCCCCCTCAATGCCATCCTGTAAACCTTGAGGCGCCATGAAGTTGAGGTATCTGTGTGTTGTTCTTCACTCCCTCAAAGTCAGAAGTGAATTTCGACTCAACTCAAAACCTGACCCATTTACACGCTCTTTCTGTGCAATTCTGTTACTTTCCCAGTGAGCTAGCGCCAGTGACGCATCGCAAGCAGCCATGGGGCGTGGAGCACAGGCTGAGGAACATGGAGGAGCATGAGAGGGAGAGGGAGCGAATGGAGAAAATTTTAAAGGAGACAGGGCAGCGCTCCTTCTTCTACCGTCTCCTCTACAACCCCTCCCGTGGCGGCTTTTTCGACCTGCCCAAGAGCCTGGGCAGCGGAACGGGCAGGTGTTGCTCGTGTGACGAGGACACAGAGAGGGATAGGATGATGGAAGTGCGGAGGCTGGGGGATGGGGAGGAGGGATTTGCTTACTTAGGGAAGGAGTTTCGGGTTCAGGACTTCGTGTTCTTGCATCCAGCAGCAGTGGGGGAGGAGAGCGAGGGGAAGAAGTTCAAGATAGCGAAAGGAGGGCGGAACATTGGGCTGCGGGCGTGGCCTATCGGGCAGATTGAAAAGTTTGTAGCTCCGACCGGTGGGGCAAAGGAGGTGCCTGAAAAGATGGTGGTGAGGAGGTTCTTCCGCCCTGAAGATGTGCCGAATGAGGGTGATGAGATCGCATATACGGCACACATCCGAGAGGTGAGCGCTTTTTCCCCTTTTAAATATTTTACATCCGGAGAAGCTAAGGGTCGGTGATCTTGACTTGTGTTGAGGTGCCTGCATGTCAAATGAGGGTGCTTGAGGTGCACAGCACATATACGAGAGGTGAGAGAGCTACTCATCTTTCTATTTACAGACGGGTGGTGAGATGCCAGTGCTTCTGACTTTTGTCCACTTCTGAGACTCCTTAGAAGTAAAATATTTCTAATGCGGGTGAGGAGATGGTGTAAAGGGCACATATTGGAGAGGTGAGAGTGACAAGATGGCGTATCGGGCATGAAGGTGTTTTCCACTTCCATTCTTTTTCTCTCTTTTTTTCTTCTTCCTTTCTTTATTTCTTTCTTTGCTTATGATGAACGCCCCAGTGCACACGCCATGTACAAGAATCTATGTACTTGTACCACTTCGCCCCACAACAGGTGTACTACAGTGAAACCCTAATCACTGTAGACGTGACAGACGTGATCGGCAAGTGCCGCGTGCAGCGGGGCAAGCCCACCGCAGCAACTGCTGCAACAGGGACAGAGGCGGATCACTCGGGCTTTAACATCGGGGGGTGCCTGGAGGAGGAGCTGATGGGCGGCGACTTTGTCTTCTTCTGCGACCGCCTTCTCAAAGATGGCTCCGTCCGAATGGTATAGCGCTCCCTCGTCTCTGTTCTCGGTTAAACTTGAATAATGCTCTCATTTCACAAGCCAGCAGTGCTCCTTCTCTGTTATCACCTGGAGTTCTATCATTCGCACGAATAAACAGGTTTATGTATAGATGTGCTTCCTCCCCTGCTATCAGCTAATTTTACGGATCCCCAAAAACTGAAAGCCCTCCGTCCTCTGCTATAGCATTGTTCTTCCGTCTAAATGTGCCACTATAGCTTTGTCTCTGCCTGTTCTGGAAGGCAACACGTGCCATCAGAAGTATGAGATCGTCTCTTTCTGCCTATACTAAATTTACTTTTGAGAATTCTCAAAAGTAAAATCCACATATCTAGAAGGTAACACGTGCCATCAGAAGTATAAGATCGTCTCTTTCTGCATGTACTTGGTGGGCATGTCTCTCTCTGCCTGACTCTTCTGCCTCCCTTGCTTCCTTTCCCACTTCCGTTTTTATCCTGCAGTTGCCCCCTGGGATTCGCTTCGGCCCTTCTTCAGCAGCAGCAGCAGCGTCACCAATCAAGGACAAGGGCAAGGGCAAGGGCAAGAGCGTTGCTGCCGATGACGACGCCGACGCGGAAGCTGCAGCAATAGAGGCAGCAGCAGTGGCTAGAGCCCGGGCGAAGGGCAAGGGGAAAGCAGCTGCAGAGGAGCCAGACGAACCCACCAGCAAGGCTGCAGCTGGGGCGAATAAACAGGAGAAAAAGCAGGAGAAGCAGGAGGAGAAGGAGAATAAGGGGAAGCAGGAGGAGGGGCAGCAAGGGGTGGGAAACAGCAGCAAGGGCGGCACTGGTGTGCTGCGGACGTTGGATATATTTGCGGGGTGTGGCGGGCTGTCAGAGGGGCTGCAGCGGTCGAGGGCGTGTGAGACGCGGTGGGCCATCGAGTATGAGCACCCAGCGGCCGAGGCGTTTCAGAAGAACCACCCCGACGCCGCTGTCATCTGCGCCAACTGCAACGTGGTGCTGAGGTGAGCGTGAGCGGTGCTTTGGTAAGTTAGGTGAGCATGGGGAACAGAAGACCCACCCCGAGGCTGCTGTCATCTGTGCCAACTGCAATGTGTTGCTCAGGTGAGTGAGTGTAGTGTCACTTGGCCGGTTCAGTGCTGATGGTGGGCGGGTGGGCTGCTGAGGCGTTTCAGAAGAACCACCCCGAGGCTGCTGTCATCTGCGCCAACTGCAACGTCGTGCTCAGGTGAGCGGTGCTTGAGTAAGTGGGTGGGGTTGTGTGGTAGTTTGTGGTGGTAAGATGTTCTGTGGTGTGGTGCTTAGGTAAGCAGGTGGGGTTATGAGGTAGTTAATGGTGGTAAGATGTTATGTGGTGCGGTGCTTAGGTAAGCGAGCAGGGTTACATGATGTCTAAGTGAAGGGGGATACGGAGATGCCATAGGGGGACAGTAGCAGCAACACCTTGCCCCCGTTTCCACTCCTTTCTCGTTCCCCTCCTTACCATTTCCCCTATCTTGCTCGTTATTTGTCTCGCCTACTTCCTTTGTCCCAGACAGAGGCAATCCCTCGCTCCCATTAACCCCTTCCGGGATTTCCCCCTAATATATATATACATATATGTATATATGTATGTGTATATATATATATCCCCCTTTTCCCCCTCTCCCATGTCCTCGCCTCCCCAGGTCTATGATGGAGCAAGCAGGGCAGCTGGGCGACTGTGTGTCAACGCCAGAGGCGGATGAAGCAGCAGCAAAGATGGCCGAGGGGGAAAAGGGCAAGCTGCCTCTGCCTGGCCAAGTGGACTTCGTCAATGGGGGCCCGCCCTGCCAGGTGAGTGGGGCTCGCAGAGGCACTTATTCAGGTGCGGACTGTGCGGTGAGCGGTAGCAGGGAAGATTGTCTAGGCAGAGAGGGGCAAGCTGCCCCTGCCCGGCCAAGTGGACTTCGTCAATGGGGGCCCGCCCTGCCAGGTACGCAGGTTCCAGGTGGCGCCTACCCCACCTGCACTAGTGGTGAGAGTGGGACAGACGGCCGAGGCAGAGAGCGGCGAGCTGCTGCTGCCGGGCCAAGTGGAGTTTGTGAATGGGGGGGCGCCCTGCCAGGTACACACTTATCCAGGAAAGCACCCTGCCAGGTTGCAGGGGGGTCGCAGCTCTTGTTCAGGTGCGGTGAGTGGTACGAGGATGGCCGAGGAGGAAAGGGGGAAGCGGCCGCTTCCTGGCTAAGTGGTATTCGTGAATGGAGGTGGGCAGCTGCCGCCCAGTGAATGGAGGTGGGCAGCTGCCGCCCTGCCAGGTACACACTTGTACCTGGCTTCCCGGCTGAGTGGTGAACTTGGTGAGTGGGGTGGGTGACCCCCCTACCACCAAGTACGGGGTTCATTTTTAGAGTCGACTTAGGATCGGACTCGTCTCCATCCCTGCCAAGTACATTGGTTGCACGTGTAGTGACCGATGACCCTCGCCTTTCATCACTTCTCACCCCTTCTGCTCTCCTGCTATACCCTTTGCCTTATTTGATCCCCTCTACCCTTTCTGCCTGTCCCACGCAGGGATCCTCCGGAAAGAACCCATGGAGCAAGGTGCAGTGCAGTTTTTTAGTCGACTCAAAAATCGACTTACTACACATGAACCCATGGAGGAGCAAGGTGCAGTGCGAGATGATCCCATTTCCCCTCATTGCCTTCTCTCTTCCTTCTCTTCCCCTCTATAACTCCCCTCTCAGGGTTTCTCCGGAATGAACCGCTTCAACCAGAACCCATGGAGCAAGGTGCAGTGCGAGATGATTCTCGCCTTCCTCTCCTTCGCCGATTTCCTCCGCCCCAACTACTTCCTCCTCGAGAACGTGCGCAACTTTGTCTCCTTCAATGGCGCCCGCACCTTCCGCCTGGCCCTTCGGACGCTGCTCGCCATGGGCTACCAGGTAGGCGCAAGCACTACTAATGTTCCCTACTCATCCGCACACACTGCCTTCCCTTTGCGGATTTCCTCCGCCCCAACTACTTCCTCCTTGAGAACGTGCGCAACTTTGTGTCCTTGACCGGGGCGCGTTCTTTCCGCCTCGCTCTGAGGACTCTCCGTGCTATGGGCTACCAGGTAGGCAGGCATCATACTTGTGTCGCCATAGGCTAATCGAACACCAGAACCACACCATCAACCATCACCCACTATTGAAAATTCACAAACTGAGTCACTAATGGGAAATGTCAAAAGCATACACATGGGTCGCCATTGTCTAATTGAACACCAGACCACACCATCAACTATCAGCCGTCACACCATCACACCATCAAACCATCACACCTCCCTCTCGCCCTACCATGTCCGTCTGCATCCTTCAATCGGGCAGCTTTTCACCGCCTCTCCGTTCCTGCTCCTTCTCCCCTTCCCCCCACCCCCTCCAGGTCCGCTTCAGTGTCTTACAAGCGGGCAACTTCGGCTTCATCTGGGCAGCAGCGCCTTGCCACCGGCTCCCCGAGTGTTATTGAGAGTTTCAGATTCCCCCAACCCCTTTTCCCCTCTTTCCTCACCCTCCAGGTCCGCTTCGGTGTGCTGCAAGCGGGGAACTTCGGAATATCTCAGTCCCGCACGCGGGCCTTCATCTGGGCTGCAGCACCGGGCCACGTGCTCCCTGAGTGGCCGCAGCCTCTGCACGTCTTTGCCTCCTCCCAGCTCTCCGTCCCCCTCACCACCTCCGCTGCTGGCGGCGCCTCTGCTGCTAGTGGTGCTGCTGGTGGCGCGGCTAGTATTGGTCAGTTCAGCACGGCTAGCTCGCTGGCCAATGAGGCGTGTCCACGTGGCCCTGCAGTGGGGGCACCGCTGCGGTCGATCACGGTGCGAGATGCGATGGGGGACCTGCCAAGCATTGAGAACGGGGCAGAAGAGGAGGAGATGGAGGTGAGTCACAGGGTGGGAGTGGTGAGTGGTGAATGCGGGTTGGGGGTTGTGCGCTGCTGGCAACATGCAGAGCGGAATGCGGTCTGGAGCCTGGGATTCGGCAGGGGATGGGATGCAGGATGCAATGGGGCGGATTGAAAATGGGGCAGAGGAGGAGGAGGAGATGGAGGTGAGCTGCGGGGTGCTGGTGGTCTGTAGGTTTTAGAGAAACCTCTAAGCTACTACACTTAGTTCTCTCACAACGCAAGCCATCCTGATAACTTGCATGGGCAGGATCACAACCTCATGGCTGACAGCACACCCTCCTCCCCCCCCCCCCCTACCCCCCACTTCCTTGTTTTGAGTCGACTCAAAACACGACTCAATACACGCGAATTGCATGTGCAGCATAGGATCACAACCTCATGGCTGGCTGACAGCACATTCTCCTCGCCCCCATATCCCCCCTTACCCCCCGCTTCTGAGGCGTCTCAAAATGCAGGATAGGATTACATCACAATCTCATGGCTGACACCACATTCTCCTTACCCCTCGTACTCCCCTCCCCCTTACCCCCCACTTCCTTAGCATACTCGTTTCTGGTTTCAAGAAGCCTCAAAACCCAAGCGCTTCCCAACACTCTCCCTCCCTTCCCCCTTCCCCATTCACTTCCACAGTACTCCTCCAACCCCTCCTCCTGGTTCCAACGGTGCATCCGATCACAGCAAGCCAGGCTCCTGGACCACACTTGCAAGTGCATGAACGAACTCAACCGCAAACGCTTCCAACGCTTTCTCTTCCCCTCCCCTCCCCTCCCCTCCCCTCCCCTCTCTTCCCCTCCCCTCCCCTCCCCTCTCCTCCCCTCCCCTCCCCTCCCCTCCCCCTCCCCTCTCCCTCCCCTCCCCTCCCCTCCCCCTCCCCCTCCCCCCTCCCCTCCCCCTCCCCTCCCCCTCCCCTCCCCTCTCCCTCCCCTCCCCTCCCCCTCCCCTCCCCTCCCCTCCCCTCCCCTCCCCTCCCCTCCCCTCCCCTCCCCTCCCCTCCCCTCCTCTCCCCTCCCTTCTTCCCAGTATTCTTCGGAGCCCTCCTCCTGGTTCCAGAGGAGCATCAGAGCCCAGCAAGCCAGGCTACTGGACCACACGTGCAAGCGCATGAACGAACTCAACCTCAAACGCTGCCAACACATCCCCAGGCGCCCAGGGGCGGACTGGCGGGACCTGCCGGATATCAAGGTACGATTATGAAGCACTGTACGACCCACACTGCTTTTGAGTCAACTCTAAAGCAGAACTACTGGATATCAAGGTACGATCATGAAGCAATGTACGACCCACACTCAGGCTCAGCTCAACCTCAACCACAAAGGACCTACACAAACCTGGTTGGGGTCGATCCCCTCCTTAGCCCATCGTGTAAAGAGTGAATTTTTTAGACGTCTCAAAAAATCACTCTTTACACGTGTACGTGACCCACACTCAGGCTCAGCTCAACCTCAACCTCAACCACGAAGGACTTCGAACCTGGTTGAGGTCGATCCCCTCCTTAGCCCATCCCTTTTCATTTCGCCCTCTTCGCTCTCTTGTTTTCTGGATCGACCCTTCTTGTCATAAGCCCGTACGGCAGGACTGGAGGAATCCCTCTAGGGCTTTTGATGTGCCTCAAAAGTCGTATCTATGCCCGCAATTTGTTTGTTACCCGCCTCAGAAGTTGACAAGCCCTCACGAAAGCCGTTCGCTTATCTGATGTTGCTTTTGAGAATTCTCGAGAGCAACAGCAACATCCCGTTCCGTTGAACCACAGGTCCGCTTATTCAATGGGTGCGAAGCAGACCTGGTCTCTTGGCTATTTTGAGACGTCTCAAAGCATCACTTTTATCACGTATCAACAGCAACATCCCGTTCCTTTGAACCACAGGTCCGCTTATTCAATGGGTGCGAAGCAGACCTGGTCCCTTGGCTATTTTGAGACGTCTCAAAACATCACTTTTATCACGTATCAACAGCAACATCCCGTTCCTTTGAACCACAGGTCCGCTTATTCAATGGGTGCGAAGCAGACCTGGTCTCTTGGCTATTTTGAGACGTCTCAAAACATCACTTTTATCACATATCAACAGCAACATCCCGTTCCTTTGAACCACAGGTCCGCTTATTCAATGCGTGCGAAGCAGACCTGGTCTCTTGGCGCCTGCCCAACTCCATGCAGCACCACAACAACTGGAAGGGGCTGTTTGGCCAGCTTTACAGTTCCAAAACACTTACTTGTATACCCCAAACCCCCTGTTCCTCACCAGGTGCGGCTGTCCGATGGGCGTGAGACAGATTTGGTCCCCTGGTGCCTACCCAACACCATGGAGCGCCACAACAACTGGAAGGGGCTGTTTGGGCAGCTTACTTTCACACCCGTAACCTGACCTCTCCTTGGTATCCCTTCCTTTCCCTCATTTTCATCCACAGGTGCGGCTGTCGGACGGCCGTGAGGCAGATTTGGTCCCCTGGTGCCTACCCAACACCATGGAGCGGCACAATAACTGGAAGGGGTTGTTTGGGCGGCTGGACTGGGCGGGCAACTTCCCCACGTCTGTGACGGACCCCCAGCCCATGGGGAAAGTGGGCATGTGCTTTCACCCCGAGCAGGACCGCATTGTCAGCGTGCGCGAGTGTGCGCGATCGCAGGTAAGGGAGGGGACGTGTGACAATGGTTCTGGTGTTCTGGGATGTCCCGAACTTCAAGATTGTAGTGTGGGATTGGTGTTGGTGTGGGATTTTTTGAGATTTCACAAAAAAGCTGTGGGATGTCCCAATCTTCAAGATCATAGTGGGGGATTGGTGTGGGTGAGAGCCTGATGAATCAAGGGGTGACTGGGCGGGCAACTTTCCCACGTCTGTGACGGACCCCCAGCCCATGGGGAAAGTGGGCATGTGCTTTCACTCTGGTTGGTGGAGAGTTCTTTCTTCATAGGGTGAAGACTTTCCTTTTCACCAGTCAGCTCTTTCTTGCTTTGATTGCCTTATTCCTGCTTCTACCCCATGTTCTCACAATTACCCTCCCCCCCAATCCCGTTTACCTTGCGCTCACAACGCCTTGGTGGCCTTCCCTTAACTGGTAGAACCGTGTTGCCTGAATGTGACCGTGGTACCGCTTTGCAAGCATCATTCGGGCCAGGCTCCACAAGATAGTCCGACCATGTTCGCCCCACTCCTCCTTCCTGTGTTAATCTTTCAGGGTCTCCCCGACTGGTACCACTTCACTGGCAACATCCGGGCCAAGCACCGTCATCTCAACTAACACTTTCCCTTTCTTTGTGTTCCCAATGTGCCACAAATCTCTCAGGGCTTCCCCGACTGGTACCGCTTTGCTGGCAACATTCAGGCCAAGCATCGCCAGATCGGCAACGCTGTCCCTCCGCCTCTTGCCCTGGCTCTGGGCTTGCAGCTCAGGAAGGCTCTCTTGGAGACGAGGAAGATGAATGGAGCAGAAGTCGAGAGAGAGGGTAAGGATGAGGCAAAGTAATGGAATGTGAACACATAATGCCTCTGGCACTGGCTCTGGGCTTTCAGCTGCGGAAAGCTCTCCTGGAAACGAAAGAGATGGATGGAGCAGAGGAGGAGGGAGAGAGAAACGATGAAGCATAGTGACTTTTGAGTCGGATTAAAAATTACCTCTGGCCCAGACTCTGGGGTTCGAGTTGAGGAAAGCTCTCCTGGAGAAGAGGAGGATGGATGGAGCACAGGTGGAGGGAGAGAGTAATGACAATGAAAAGATTGGAATTTGAAGGATAAGAAAGAATGGTAATATATGTTGTGTGTTTGTCGTGTTTTTTACATCTGTGTGTAGGTTGTGTTAGAGGCAAGAAATATTATGCAGCAGTATTTCAACCAGATTTCTGCAGCAGTATCAACCTTAGCACATGCCATCTCAACAAAAATTGCGGGGACGGAAATGACATCTGCTGTAGTCTGCACTACACACACCACCTCGTCTTTCCTTCCGCCCTCCCACCACCAACACAGCTCTCCAACTTTGCCTGACCTTCAGCACTGGCCTTCACAAATCCGCAAGACCCCATTCTCTGTGAAACCCATGCCTTGGTAAATGCTTGTCCATGTGAGCTTTTCCACCTTTGCAAACCTCCATGCACCTCTGAAGCCTCACCATGTCTGCAAACACCCATGAGTCTGCAAAGCTTCACGCCTCTGCCAAGCTCTTCCTCTCCTAATCAGGAATAGCCAACCTTTGAGGTGCCTCAAAAGACGTATCTGCAATGCGAACCCCCCCTGCAACTGTACAGCTTCACGCCTCTGTCAACTCTTCCTCTCTTCCTCAGAAACAGCCAACCATTGGGGCGCCTCAAAACACGTATCTGCAATCCCCCCCTGCACCTGTAAAGCTTCACGCCTCTGTCAACTCTTCCTCTCTTCCTCAGGAATAACCGACCAATTCGGCGACGACACCGCACGCAGCCAACCGAAATCGTCCACGTGGGCCCACAGCCCACCATCCACCTTCTCCCGTATGGCCAGCGGCGTGCTGTCAACTAAACGTGCGTCTATCTCCGGTAAACACCGACTTAGTGCCAGTTGCAGTTTTCTTGCAGTCGTGGTATTAACTAAGCTCTGACTTGCACCTCCGTCTATGAACATCTTCACTACCGCTCCCTGTCTTTGGAACAGTACAGGGCAATCCGTTGCTGCACCCTCCTTATTCATCCGAGCCCGATCGCTGGCATGAATCGGTACTGTGACTCGGTGAGGGTCGGTGAGGTTGGGCGAGCAGGCAGTCTCGTCAGTAGTTGGCCCAACTTCTACTGACTGCTGGCGTTTTCCTGCCTCTGAGAATCCCTCCCCTGCTCTGCTCCGCGGCGCCTCAGCTCTTATGGGCATTCGCTTTTGTGATGGCCCGGCCTATTGCAAGCAAAGCAGCGCCCCTTAAATGGCGCGGCAGCTGCATTCATCGCAACGGCGTGTACGGTGGCGTGCTCAGTCGGTCCCCGAGGGCGATGTCCGTAGTAGGACCCCGGTCTCGGACGGCGCAAAATGTCGATTTTCTCGGCGGGCGCGAGGATCTCGTTGAAATTTGAGAGCTCGCGTAGCATGATTTCGTGCGAGATGTCCGGCTTCAGCCCTCCGATGTAACGGCCCACCCGTTCCGCTTCGTGCATGTAGCCGACTTGCTCGCATAATGCGAGAAAACCGCTCATATAGTCTTGGACTGATCCGAGCTCCCGCCAAGTACGCAGTCTCTGACGCGCCGAAATAGAAGCCGCGATCGGCTCGAAGCGCGCCCGAAGCCCTGCGCACCACGCATCCTACGTGCTGTACTGGGCGGTTACGCAAAATGAATCCAGGTGATGGCTGGACTCGTGGACCCTTCCTCTTGCGACGACGGCTCGTAGGCACGTGGCGACGTCACGATGACTCACCACCGGTCCATCGCGGGGCCCCTCAGCAGCGAGACCGTGTAGCGAATCTTCGCTGCGTCCGACTCGACGTAATTCGCGTTGAAGAAGATGTTCATCGTGAAGACCCACGATTGAACCGTCGGACCTCCACGTTGGCTCGGGTCGAAACAGGGTGGGCACTGCGGCTTGAGTGGCATTGGTGCCATAATGGCGTGGTCGCCACTTGTCGCTGCGAACTCCATATGCCGACGGGCTTCACGAGGCTCCCGCGGGCTTGGTGCGGCCCTGTTCCTCTCCATGCCAGGCATTGATTGAGCGTCGCCATCACTGGCTGCGCCTGAGCGCTGTCCCACGCTGTCGTTTTGTGTCGGTGTGCCTGATGAGAAGACGATCGGCTCCTCCAACTGTGCGGGTGCATTTGCAGGTGCGTGTGGTGGTGCTGGAGAGTTCACCGTGGATTGCTGACGAGCCGAGTCACGTTCCGCCGTGAGTGTAGCAATTTCGAGTGCCGAATCTTTGATTTGGCGCACGAGACGGTCGAGTTGTTCCTGCGTCAGTGTCGCGAAAGTGAATTCAGCCATGGCGACAAGCTCAGCGAGAGCCTCTGTCGTGGCCGTGCGTGCTTACGAGAGAGCAGTTCTAGCGGCGGTGCTTGTTTCGCTGAGAGACGTCTAACCGCCCCCCCCCCAAAAAATTGAGTTAGTGGGGAAGCGAAGGTGTGGGTGCGGTCCGAGAGAAGATCATAGGCTCTGAATACCAAGTGTTGCGAGTGCAATTGAGTGAGCGAGCGAGAATTTCACTATCGAAAAAAATACAATTAGCAAATGCATGAGCGAAGAATATATAGCGAAACTACAGTGGTAACGGTAATGTGTGGAAATTGGGGTGCGCGACGGCAAGGTTGGGAAAATGTCGAGGCGGAGGTCCGGAGCGCGGGTTACCAACCGAACCGTGAGGTTGGGTCGCGGTGGGAACAGTGGCGGGAACAGTGTCGGCATGAGTGGTAACGGTTTACTGTTGGGTGCTGTTGGCGGGAGCAGTTATGTACGCTGCTGATACAACCAAAGGATCCAGTAGATAGGATAGAATCTGTTAAGTCTGAGAGGAGACAATGAAGTCTCTGTAGTGACCTTGTTGTATAATGATTGAAAGAGAACAAGATGATTTGAAAGATAGGAGTACAGGAGATTAAATAGAAATCTAGCTAGCCATGTACTCTGAGGGGTACATTCCCTTATTAACTGTATTGCATAGCTACAGTAACCGCGACTATTGCTATCCTCGAGTACCATGTTGCATTGAATTAACTGTCGTGCGGTTACTGGATCGTCAAGGGTCACGACCGTTGACTTCCTCAGACGGTTGACCTTCGGGTGACCCTCGACATTCCGCATGCTCTATATGAGCTATTGCGGTACTGATACAGTGGGCAGCTTCGGGAATGCTTTATATAACCTTTCGGTTGTTTCAACACTCCCCTTTATTACTGAAGGTGGGCCACGTGGGATTTCTTGGTGATCCCGCAGAGGTCGGCGCAGCGTTGGTACTGCTGACGTGGCAGCTTCTTTGGCAGAAAATCAGCTGCCATGTCACCGGTCGGGCAGTACGTCAGCTTGACTTTCCCCTTGTCGATTTCATCCTTCACGAAGAAGTAGCGAAGGGCGATGTGCTTGGTGCGGTTGACGAAGCCGGGCTTGTTCGCGATCTTTATCGCGCTCTGATTGTCGCAGAGTAACGTGAAGTGCCCGTTCATCGTCACTTTCGCCTCTTGCAGGAGCTCCATCAGGTACAGTCCTTCGCGAACAGCTGCGCTAGCTGCGATGAATTCTGCTTCTGCTGACGAAAGAGCAATGAGTTCCTGCTTCTGAGAGTTCCAGGAGATGAGTCCCGCTGGTTGGAGTTGAAAAATGAATCCTGTGCGGGAGCGTCGGTTGTCAACATCTCCAGCGTGGACGGCATCTACGTAGCCATGGAGCTGTAGAGTAGCGGTGAGATTAGCGTCGTAGGTGAGACCGACGTCGGGAGTGGAGATGAAGTACTGTAGTGCTCGGCGTAGATCCAGTAGATTCTCCCCTTCAGGTCGCTTCAGGTACTGTGCGAGCTGGCTTGCGACGTAGGAGAGATCGGGCCGGCACGTGACGGCGGCGAACAGGAGACATCCCAGCTGCTGCTGATAGAGACGATGGTTGTCGGGAGAGAGAGGTGTGGTGTCTGGCTCGTGGTTAGGAGGAGGAGTGCGATAAGGGGTGGTGAGGTTGATCGGTGCGATGGCGAATCGCTTCGCGAGTGTTTCGGCGTACTTGGCGGCGGAGAGGTGAATGGAGGAGGCGGACTGAGTCACATTGAGGCCGAGAAACTGTGTGACGTTGTGGTTTACTGTCACCTCCAGCTTCTCCTTGATGTCAGCCTCAAATTGGTCCAGCAGCTCTGTGTCGTCGCCGGTGTAGAGAAGGTCGTCGACGTAGGCGACGAGGAGGATAAATTTCCCGCGCGATTCCCGCCTGCACATTCCGAGGTCGTGCGGCAGCTGAGTGAAGCCGAGCTCAAGGAGGACGGAATGGAGGTACTGCTGCCATAGACGAGGTGCCTGCTTGATTCCGTAGAGGGATTTTTGGAGGAGGCACACGGCGCCATCGTTTTCTTCGAATGCGTGCGGCTGCTCGACGGAAATTATGGCATCGACGGGAGCGTATAGGAAGGCGCTGCCGACATCGATTTGCCGGAAAGGTCGCTGTCTGATGGCGGCAATGCAGAGAAGAATCCGCACCGAGGTGTGGCGGCCGACTGGAGCGTAGGTGAGAGTGAAATCCACCAGGTGCGTTTGTTCAAATCCCCGTACCGCCCAACGCGCCTTGTACTTGTCGACCGAGCCATCTGCGAGAGTTTTGATGCGGAAAACCCATTTTCCGCTGAGAAATTTTCTCCCCTTTGCCAATGACCGAGGGACTAGCTTCTAGGTGCCACGTTTCTTCAGCGACGCGATTTCGGCGGCCATGGCTGCTCTCCATTTCTCACTGTCGGGGCTAGACAGGGCTTGGTGGACTGTGGTTGGTTCCTTGGGCGAGGTGTGGCAAACAGCGACGGCGAGGCCGAGAACGCGGAGACCGGTTTC